GTTTGGCAGACAGCTCCAATAAAAACACAGGAACAGAGGCATTAATATACAAGAATGCATTTAGTAGATCAGTTTTGGAGTGCTGTTTTAATGCTTCATGCCTGAATATTTGTAGTCAGAGGGTTATTTCATAATGTTATCCTTGTCTGCATCACTTCAAGCTTTTGTATCTGTTCTGGGCTGATCAAGTTGTTTTTGCTCATTGCTTTTACTCATAAAAACAAAGTGACATCTGCTCCAACGGTTTAATCTGTAAATGGACACCTCGAAAACAGCTGACAAAGGTGGGTGGCAGCAGTAGACGATATAAGTGAGCAGCCATAGCACAGGTTACAGACAGTGATGTAATGACACTGACCCTCTGTAAAGGCTCGTGCACGACTTTCAGCGTCGGCCGATCGCTGTGCTGTTTAGACTCTGTGTGACTGATTGGTGACAGGGGGTCGCACACTACACGAGCTGACAGCGGCTGTGTCACCCGACGCTGGTCTCTAAACCACGTTTTGTCAAGAAAACACACGTGAAATGTGAAACGGGAAATGACGCAAACCTACACGCGAAACAGCTGTTGTTTGTTATTATAAAGACAAAAAATAAAAAGTAGCTTCCTGCTCTCATTGGCTGGATGTGGACGTCGAGTCGTCCGACTCCTCCAGATATTTGACATGCTAGATATCTGGCTGGTGGCTGCGATGTGTCAGCAATACGTCGGGGAGCCGTTTTGATGCGTCATTGAGTAGTTCACATATAACGACTTTGACTGCCGATCGATTGCTGATTGATCACAGCCTGACGGTCGCCGAGCTCACCGACCGGTAAATCAGGCTTAAAATCGTGTAGTGTGAACTAGGATTAACTCCTAGCTTCCTGAGTGCATGGCACACACTGTGAAAGTAAACAACTGCGCAGCAGGGGGAGAGAGATGGTAAACTAAAGGTATGGGATGGTCTGACAGTGAGGTATCTGTTCCCTCTGCGTACCAGGAGGCATGTTAGAGGATCCACTGCTGCCGGACGTGATCCTTTCAGAGAGACAGCTCTGCTGAAAAACATGGCTTGTTTTTGTGATATCCGAGCCCCTACTTTGAGACCACACACATTTGTGTCGGTTTACAGCATGGTGTGATCTTAATTACCCAGTCTGCTGAGCTGACACATGGAATATCAAATGTCGACCTGTCAGTGCCATCCACAACTGATGCAATGGAGGTTAGCCTGGGTCACATGATGATATAAAGGCTTTCTCAGAGACTTTTCTACACTGACACAATACAGTTCTGTAGTGAATCCTCAGTCCTAACAGTTATAAAAATATATTTCAAAATCAGTGACAAAATTTTTGTTCTTCCAAGACTAAAACTAAATAGAAAGATCTACATTTGGATGGAGACAGCAAACCTGTTTTATTCAGAGTGGAACATCCAGAAACAAAATCCAAGGCTCTCTTCGTACTAAAGGTTTAAAAAGCTCTCAGTCTACTCCACTGACACTTGTGATGCCCGTGAAGGCCAACGCCAAATGCATCAGGGCATTTAAAGTGTTTTTGACAGGTACGCTTTTTTTTCAACAAGCTAATGGAATAAAACAATTTACTATGCCTGTGGACTTCTTACAAAAAAAAACAACCTTACAATGGTTCTAAGTCAACCCACAACAGTTGGGCCTCAGTTGCTTCACAAGAAAACACTGGCAGCTTTAAAAGACTACCAAAGGTTAACTTTTAAACTTTCAAACTTCAATATGCCAGCATGGTAAGATGTGCAACTTTAAAATGTAGGTCGAAAAAAAGGAATTATCCTTTTTGGCCATATTGCCCAGCCCTTCTTTTGCAAGATAAAGTCAGTGAGCTATGCATTGCATGCCTGTGTTTACCACCTTGGCCATTCTGCAATGTTTCACACCAACTGAAACCAGGGGGGAGAAGAGAGGAAATGGATCAGATGTTGGTGAGACCAGGTTAGTCTGAATAAAGTTTCGATTCCTCATTTCCTGTGGTTGCAGAAGTGACCATACTCAACACCAGACTTTCATTTTGGGTAGACATAAGTGAATTTATGGGTTTCATTGTGCAGTAAAGATGTGCTTTTTCTTGCATACTAAAAATAACATGTTACTGTAACATGTTTAGTTGGTAGGCTGTAAACAGAAGCTACAATTTGTTTGTTATGGTTATGGTGAAGTGCTGATGTCTATTCTATTGTCTGTTGTCTGGAATGTTACTGTTACTGACGAGGAAGTTGAGAAAGTCCGTGCAAAAAATAAAAAAAAACCTGACATGTTTTTATTTTGTTTTGATTGTTTCAAGTTGCACCAGTTTAACGCTGATCCACCCGAAAACTGTGTTTGACTCTGCGCCTGCAAACAGTCAACCACAAACATTCCCCTGGCGGCAGCGAGGGGACAACCGACACCACCGACACACAGAGAGAGGAAGTGAACCTGAGAGAGGAAGCACATTTCTGCTGCGCAGCCCAGTTTTTTTTTTTCATCCGAGAACACGGATCAATAACTATCAGGGAGGAGAGGAGACAGGTTCCCAAAAAGCTGAGTCAAGGCACACACACACACACACTCACACACAGATTTATACTTGTATACATATAAGGACCCTAGCTCTTAACCATCAAAACCACTTGCTAAACCTTGCCCCAATTTAAACCCAAAACTAAATCTTAACCCTTAAGCTATGTCTGAACCCCCAAACAGAGTTTTTGAGAAGTCCAAATGTCCCCACTGTTAAAAAAGGTCCTCATTTTCCTGCAAGAATACACACACACTTTCACTGGACGGATTAAAGGACGTTTTAATGTTGCTAGCACTTAAAAGTCTCTAAACTCAACTAGAATGTACTTCTATTTCTGAAACTTAAAAGAACTTGCTCTTACTGTTTCAATAAAATAAGCTGACTCTCCTCTATTCTACTGTACTGGGATTGTTTAACAGCTTGTAAAAAGCACACTGTACGGTGATAATATGACTGGAATTCAGCCTCACAGGAAATGGACTGACAGCTGTCACGCTGAGCAAGTGTCACACGCTCTGAAGTGTTTCTGTGCAGTATGTGGGTGTAGGTACTGTATGTGTGTGTCACATGGAGTCAGGATGCAAGGGAGGGACACTGATTGAATGCATACTCGTCATATATTCACTTCAAGTTAGAGCTAAAAACAGCAGTTAATCAATAGAAAGTGAATGGCAATTGTTTTGATAATTGATGAATCGTTTAAGTCATTTTTTAAACAAAACGTTAAACATTTCCACGTTCCAGTTTCTCAATTGTGAAAACTTGCATAAGTTTGTCTTACGTTAATGTCTCTATTGGTCAGACCAAACAAGCAATTAGATGATGTAACCTTGGGTTCTGTGAAATTGTGATGGACATTTCTCATGATTTACAGACATTTTACAACCAACTGAGAAAAGAATCATCAGTCAGTACTGAAAATAATCCTTAGTTGCTACCCTACTTAAAATAATAATGAAAAACCAAACAAACTGGATTCTGCATTGCAAAACACACTAAAACATGTCAAAAGAATCAATCAGAAAAGCTTTCATTACTTTTTATTTACAGCTGCTGGTCTATTTATTGTGTAAATATGAGTTCCTTAGAATTTACACTTATTTTATGCAAACTAAAGCTATTAAATGTAACAAACTTTAACAAAATGTCTTAACTTTATAAAATAGGGTTACTTTTCCCACCCTGTTCAATGCCTTTTTATGTCTTATGTAAAGCACTTCGAGTTGCCTTATTGTTGAAACAACTTTTCTTGCTTTAATTTTAACAAAATGTACATTGACTCTGAGCAAAAAAACATAGCATGCCAGAAACCATTCAACAAGAATAATATAGGAATACTTTTGCAAACCTATCAGAGAATTAAAAACAGACAATACAAAGGAGGGAGAGGAGGACTAGTCAACCCCACCCCACCCAGCACACATGCACTCATACAGTGTTGGCAGGCCAGACACATCCATTCATAAAAGACCCACCCCTTCCCTATCCACTCACACACACTCATACACACGCGTGTGCACGCACACACAGCCATCCGGGACAGTCACAGGTTGTCGCCTCTTTCCTCTGACTGAATTTTGTGTTGGTTTACAGATAATCTGGTTCAAAATAACTGTGATCCTTACAAATACAGATATGGCACAGTAAAATTTTATAAACAACTTAGGGTACAAAACCCTAATGTTATATAGGCCTAAATAAAGTAACTTATTAGGATTCAACAGGAGAACATATTATTATCACTAACTCAAGTCTATACATTAGTATTATGGGAATATTTGACTGGGAAGTAATGAAAAGGACATTGGATATGTGAATGCCTACTGCCACACTAAACCCAATCCAATTAGTTTAATCAGTGTTGTGTTAAATGCCCCCTTGAGAATGGGAAATTTATCAACTTGCCACTTAGCAGTCAAGTTCATGACTGAGTCGTGTCAAGTCAACTAGACATTGCACATTTCACATAGCTTGTTACTTCACAGCCCATTTTACAGACACAAAATGTTTCTATTTTACATATAGTCACGCTCTTTTCATTTTTGTTTAATTTTTCAGCTATTTTCACCAAATACTTTGTAGACAACAGGGAGAGGGTGTTCTCCCAGTGTCCCGTGTCCTCTTGAATGAATATCAGCCAAATACAGGTTTAAAAAAATACATCCAAAAGGGCCACGAATGCCCCATTTCTTCAACTTTTTCAAGCTATTTGATGCCAAAACAAGCCGGAAAACTACATTTCACAGGCAGGTTGTGAAGTAGGCGAGTCTCTCACACAGCGCATGTAACGGTATGCGAGGAGAGAAATGGTCCATTTCCATGGATGGAGAAGGATGACTGACTCCCAGCACGGTCCAAGCGATTAACAACACCCTGGATTTTTTTTTTGTCTTAAAAAAAAAAGACCCCTAAAATAAAGCGGTTTTCATGATGGAAATGCAGGGGGAAAAAAGAGTTAAACAGAGATCGGTACTCACCCCGAGCGCAGCAAAAATGAGTCAGCTACAGACAGGGAGAGAGACGAGGGAGTCTGCAGGGAAGATAATCTCCTCTGGATCTCACAGAAAGCAGCTCTGTGGGAATTTATTTTCGGTTTGAGAGAGGACAGACGTGCTGCAGCAAAGGAAAAAAGTCCACTCCGTCAGTCTCGGTGGGTTCGGTTCACTTCTGCGGTTTCAAGTCGCTCAGTGATGGATTTGAGTCTGTTTCATCAGCGTGGGGGAAACTCGGCCGTGAATGGGACACGGGACAAGAGTCGGTCAGTGTTTGGAAATAATAAAACAGGAATGCCGGGTTTAATGATCGTGATTCCGCTTTCTGTCCGTCTGCTTCGCTGTCCTCTGCTATGTCACCGGCTGCTGAAACGTGGAAACGCCTTTTCCCCCTCTCTCTCTCTCTCTCTCTCGGTCACGGTTAAGCACGCTGTCTGATTCGTCCAGAGATCGTCTATTGAAAAACAAGGGCTCACTCTCTCACTAAACCCCTCAATGAATGAATAAATGCATAGGTGATTGAAAATGTGGCCAAATTCGTTCACGTTCAAATAACAACGTTATCACGTGGAAAGGAGACCTTATCCAAATGGGTAATTACAAACAGTAACAAACAGCCACAGTCAGACAAGAGCGTCACTGCATTTCATTAGAGTCCATAAAGGTTTACTGCATGTCAAAAGGTTCTGGCAATTCGATTAATCAGTTAATCACACATTTGTTAGGGAATCTGCACCTCTAAAGTACAATATAAACCCAGGGGGATCCTGCATTATTACATAGTTCTGTGCTCCTGTTTTATTATTTTTATGGTCACTTTGTGAAGATTCAAATTACCACAAACAAATTAAGTATTTTTACACCATAGGAGTTGTTGCACTGGACTTAGACGCGACAGTGCATAAACTGTGCACACTGTGTAGAGTCCATTAGTTGGAGGGATTGATAGGTAATGGGCTGTATAGCAACTTTCTAGTCTTCCAACCACTCAAAGCGCTCAAAACCCATTCACACACCTTCACACACTGATGATAGCAGCTAAGGTGCCAACTGCTCATCAGAAACAGAAGGTAATCACACACACGCTCACAAAGCAATGGCACAGCCACCCCTGTTTCTTTCTCTCCATCACACACACATTTTTCAAAGGTATGATCAATGTTTAATCAACATTACATCTCATCTTCATTCAATAATTTTTCAGCGTGAGCACACACACTCAAAATCTGCAAAGAATTAGGATGTAGTTTGAATGCAACCACTATACTAGACAGCTGCACATATTTGATAACATGTATATTCTACACTAAGCTGGCCAAACTGTACATTAATCAAAGTTTTATGTATCAAATGCATTTAGTGATAAATTGCCAAAAAATAGGATGGTCAGCATAAGTGAGTACAATTTTAGTTTTCTTGCCAATAATTATACACTGTTAAACTCTTAACACCATATCATAATAAGGTGATATTGAAATGCTTGTGAGGTTAATACCAAACAAATGTCAATGGATTTTAACTGACAAAATTATATTTTATTGTTCATGCATTTCTTTGATCAGCTTTTACTGTATAATTCAGGGTTCAGACTGCTGGAGCCTATCCCAGCATGCAGTAGCAGGACAGTAGGGATAGATATCCTGAACAAGCTTCCAGTGCATCTCAGAAGGTGAAACACTATGCATGCATCTGGGCTATGAAAACATGGAGTGAACATGCAAACTGCACACAGACTGGCCCTCAAAAACACATTTTATCCAAGGTGTCCAGAAATGACAAGATACATTTTTCTGGCTGCCTGACATTTTGTCCTCCGGAAAAAACAACAGAGTGAGAGCTCTTTCTGTCCTCCTCTTATTCTGATTCTACTTTTTCTCAGACACACAAACACATTCACACACACACACACACACACACACACACACACACACACACACACACACACAGAGACAGACACACACATTTTTCAAAGCTGATGTCACGGTGCTATCCGGTCCGCAAATCCCTCCTCCTGTTTCTTTCTCTACATCACAAAATGATCCAAAAACACCAACCCTATCCCACCCAACTCCACCCCCACCCTCCAACCCCCAACTCCATTCTTTAAAAAAGTCACAGAGAGCCAACAGGAGCTGTGCTGCTGGGTGTTGATCCTTCAAATGAAGTTAAATAATCAATCAATTATCTCATCTCTGTCCTCCTGAAAGTAAAGTTGCCCTGTAGTATAATTAAAATGGATACTACTGGGGAAAACAGGATTGTAGAAAAAGATTTTAAGATCATCCAAATGACTATTTCAGATTTCCAACAGGTACAAAACAGTCAAAAAAATGTCTTTGAGATGACTAAAATGTGAAAAGGTTGCTTTTTTCCTACAGTAAGAGCAGTATTTTCTATACTGTGGAATACAGCTGAAGATAGTACACTCATTACATGACACATTGACCCGAATTTCACGGGATTGTGACCTAACAAACCTTATTTTAAGTTTTTTTTTAAGTTTTATGCTTATATGCCATTGGCTTATATGCCATTGTCTTATATGCCAAACTTTTTCTGTGGGAGGAAAATATGTATTCTTAAATTTGGTTTAATCATACTATCTCTGTATGTACTGGGATCTTATCACAACAGAAGAAGGTCAGTATTGGATTATGCAATGAGATCCAGTGCCAATGTTTTACATTCAATATATTCTAACTTTAACAAGCAATAAGTTGTATCACATTGAATGAGGAACTGAAGGTTGATATTGGACATAAACTGTTAGGTTTGGAATCGTCCAATAAGAATCTCATTCATCCCAGGGCTGATAGTTCACCTAGTATTGTCCTACATTTCTTCCCAATATCCAGAGAAGATTCCTGAAGGTTTTTGGTTCTGGGAGTCAGTGGAAAAAATGACAGCAATGGCTATAGAGAAGGTAAGAAAAATTATTTCCAGTAACGAAAAATGAGCATTACTTTGTGTGATTACTCAAAGGGCAACCTTTCTTGTGGCTGCATTGCACTCTGGAAAACTGGGGTTACTGTAAGTCTGTCTTTTCTCATTGATTTCTAACTGAATGAGTGTTGAACATTAAAAAAAGCCTTTCAGTTATTGACACTGAAGTTCAACATTTTTTGTTGATTTGAGCGTACAGATTCTTTCTTGACCATGGGCGCACATATCTGTCGTTAAGATATGACCATATCTCACTGCCTTCTTAAGCAAACGTAACTTGCTGAGGATTTTACATTTGATGGTTTAGTTTGCAAACTTGTGTGGACAGTTCCAGCAGTAGATAATGTAATATACAAAACGTTCTCATGTCAGGGTATTAAATACTGGTGCATTGAGAAAGCCTGACAAAGCGTCAGTATGTGACACACAATACCCTTCAGCGTCCATATGAAACATCTTTCCATATGTGGTCTTCAGCAATCACATGATATGAAACACCATTAGGTTTAGGAAAACATCCTGTTTAAGGTTGAAATAAGAATATTACACAACGGTGGATAGGTTACATTAGAGTTCCTTGAAAGGCCAGGGTTTCTCATATGGACGCTAAAGGGTACCTTGTCTTTCAAATACAGACACTTCAGGCTTTCTCAAACCATCGGTATTTGACGAGATGAGACATGGCTATAAAGCTTCTGTCAGACAAAGCCTATTTCAAGGTAAGCCGGTCATAAAAGTCATAAAGTCTTTTGTTTGTTGAAAATATCTCAGCTTTTATCTACAAAACTCTTCAGAAATGCTTGTATGTGGCTGTGAAGTGCACAGCTGCTTTAGCTCTTGTGAAACCCGAGGTTTATGTTACACTTAAACCCCGTGTTCACATGTGTGCCAAAGTGGCCACAACCACACATGAAGCCACTGAAAGAAATGGTTCTGCTTGCATCTACACAAGGCTACTGACTTTTGATTGTTTCACATACCTTTGTTGGGTTTGTGGATTCTCCTTCTATTTGTAAGTAGACTGTAGATAAGGTCAGAATATCCACACTAATAACATGAATATAATTTATTTTTAAAGTATATTTGAAAGTACAGAACGACTGAGTTGGAGTGACTGAGCTTTTATAATATTTTTTAGATTTTGGTCTGGGGTGTGCAGTAGCACATGGTTTTGAAATGAGTCATCCTGAAAACTATTTAGTGGTTTGGAAATTTCCTACAAATTTGATGTGCATCTCATGATCTTCAACTGTGCTTCATTCCTCATCAGAAAAAGAGTTCTGACTTTGTAGTTGGTCTATAACTCATGATGAGGCGAATCTTAAAAATCTTTGGACATGAATTAGACTTTTGTTGTGAGGCCGGTGACCCTGAGGCGAAGAGGAAGGCTCCTTTTTAAACACAAAAGCACAAGCATAAACACACATGCGTGCACAAAAGACACATTTTCGAGCAAATCCAACCTTTTGACTTAGATTTAGACCTTAAACTGTATTTAAGCAGCAGAACAGGCGGCTGATTGCTTTTAGGCAGATGAAGTTTAGGACCATTACTCACATTACAGGAGAAATGGGGCTGTTGTTGCAACGTAAAGAAAACTATGATATGTTACACTTTTACGTGACTCATTTTGCTGATTTGAAACGTTTAATTAGTTCAGTTAAAAGATTTGTTGTTATAATGTAGTTTTTTTAAGGCAAGCTTCACATTTCATCTTGCTGTTATGTATTGGTTCTGACTGTTTCTCGGTTCAGAAGTAACTTCAGTCTGTTGCTGTCTCAAACATTTAGTTCAGTACAAAACTAGGCCTTTAAAAACACTGTTAATTGTTGTTATAAGGTTAACAGCTCAGCAACCAGATATTTGCAACAGATTTATCACATCATGATTGTTTCTGTGGCTTTTGCTGTCTCTTAATAAGCTTTTAATGAGGAAGCATTTACCATGTATCATAGCTGAGCTGACAGAGTCGCTCTCACTCACCAGTGACGGAAGCTCCTCAGCTAAAAGCTCCCGATTCAGTCAGTCCCAACGGTGATTCAGTCTGTTCAGTTTGAAGATTTGGTATAACAGACTCTCAAACATCTGCTGAAAACATAGCGATCTACGGAGGTGCTATCTGCGGATTTTAACCACTGTTAGCACCACAATCATGTATCTTACTGATCAGGCTGTATTGTGCTTTGATTATATTCCCTACCGTAATTGTGTTTACACTTTATATTTATTTATTTTGTGGCTACACACATACCAGAAAACATTATTTTGCCTTTCATCTGAAGAGAAGACTTCTGCCGTGTAATTGCCATGTATACATTCCTTCACTCATTGGAAGTGCGTTTCCATCCACTTGTTTTTATTATTATTATTATTATTATTCATTTACAATTTGTGCATAAAAAAACTCAGTGGAAAAAACGGAAATTCAAATAAAAAAGTATTAG